ACCTGGTGGTTGAGCTCCTATGGATTTCCCACACCCGTACATTGAAAATATGCCTGAAGTGGTCTTTAAGATAAAAACACAATAGCAGGATCATGATATACTAGCAACATACTAAGAAGTCATGCACAAGGCAGGATTTGGGAGTTTGATACTTTACAAGGCCTGTAGCTACAGTGGGGTTTGGGGGGCTCTGCCCCCTTTCTTAAAGGCACAGTCCCACAAGAATTTCTCCTGTAAATGCTTTTTTCAATCATCTTTAAACATTTTTTAAAAAGGCATGTGCTCCTTTAAGCAGAGTGGGGTGCTATAGTCGACTAATTCCTGCACTGAGCAATACAGTTGGAGTAGGTGACCTCTAGGATCCTTTCTCTGTGCCAAGAAACTGGTCTCCTTTAAGAGAGTTTTTAGCTTTCTGGACTATAGATGTCATCACCCCCACCTGCTGGCTTGTTATCAGAATTGTTGCTTAGGCTGGCAGAAGTGATTAACTTGCAGCATCTGAGCACTGTCATCTAAAGTGATTGACAGCTTGCAATTTAGAGAGCTATCCTGGTAACCGCTTTCTATTGGCTAAATAGAACTTTACCCCACCAATTAAGTCTGTTTCTTATTTATTTCATTTATTCCCCACCTTTCTTCTCAAATGGGAACCCAAAGTAGGCTACAACATTATCCCTTCTATCCTCACAACAACTCTGTTTGGCAGGTTGGGATGAGAGGGCATGGCCCATACAGTTTCCATGGCAGAGTGAAGATTTGAAGCTGGGTCGCCCAGATCCTAGACTGACACTCAAACCACTATACTTCCCTGTCTCTACTACAAATTTGGTATTACACTTCCATGCAATGCAAGACAGTTATACCAGCCCCAGATGTACTCATGCAACAAGCTTGAAGCTGTGAGTTGAACTTATAAACATGGCACACACACAACAGTAATTTTTAAGGAGGTCCTTTTATTCCCATAGTCCCACTTGAAGGAAAGGAGTTGGAAAATAAGAGGGAGGGAGGAAGTTCCAGAAACAGTCTTGCCTAGGCAGCAGTGTTCCCTCTAAGCTGAAATAGTGTGAGCTAGCTCACAGTTTTTTAGCCTCCAACTCACACATTTTTGTCTTAGCTCAGGAAGGATAGCTCCAGAGCAAACTGATTTATGCAGTACCCAAATCCCTCGCTCACAACGTTAATGCCAGTAGCTCACAAAGTAGAATTAACCCCCCCCCCAAAAAAAACCAAAGTAGAATTTTTGCTCACAAGACATCACAGCTTAGAGGGAGCATTGCTAGGCAGTATAAGTAGGTAGTAGCAGCCTGCCCCCAATTTCCAAATTATTTAGTGGGTACATCTGGTATTGTCCTTCTCACAGTGTCATCATTCTACATACATCAATCCATTGCTGCTAAGCAATGACAGCTGCAGAAGCATCAGAGCAATGGAAGCTAGACATAGAATAGACAGCTCCATAGACACGTTAAGGCAGATCTTCCCAAACCCATGAAGACAGAAGGACAGATACTACTTTAAATGAGAGTGGAGAGAACATATTGTACAAGCTAAGGAAAAACCAGACAGGAATGAAGAAGTAGACCACGAAGTAGCAAGGAGAAGAGACCTAGGGCCACAAGCCACTCTGCTGTTTTTGCATTAACAAACCCTCCTGAGAATGATAGACCATTCATCTTACCAGGAGACTTCCTGGTAGTCTGCTGCCTTGGACAGCAGGGGCTGGCCACTGACAGCCAGGAGGGAGTAGAGCAAAGTCCCAGCAGCTCTGCCAGCCTGGCAGGGGTCACATAGCTCAGACCCTTCAGCAGCAACTATCATGGACATCAACACACCCACTGCTTTCTCCTGGACCACTGTCGGTGGTGGTGGTGCAGGAGGCAGCAACGGGTGAGCTGATTCCTATTGTCAGCACTACTGGCCATGGCTGAGCAGTCCCCCTCCAGGGCTGGCTTGCTCCTAGGCCATTTTAAACTTCCTAGTTAAACCAACTAGCCCCAGCTCCCCCTAATCGCAAAGAGTACATTGCTCCAACTAAGACTTTGCAGGTAGCATGTAAAGGAAAGCCACTTTCCACTACAAACCTGCAGCTTTAAGTCAAGTAAATTATCGATTAGGCTAAAGTTTGGTTCTAATTAACTGATGGAGCTGCCATCTTTGTAAAAAAAAAGACTAGTTCTGTTTCCAATTTGTATTCGAAGTCAAAATATAAAATTTGCCATTGGGAACATGACCACTGCAACTTTTCTTGCTACTACAAAGAACCAGTCTTTTATATCTCAATCTTCTATGCACATGAATGGAATTTGAACATTTAAAATTCTCCACTACAAACCTGCAGCTTTAAGTCAAGTAAATTATCAATTAGGCTACAGTTTGGTTCTAATTAACTGATGGAGGTGCTATCTTTGTAAAAAAAGACTAGTTCTGTTTCCAATTTGTATTCAAAGTCAAAATATAAAATCTGCCAGAACATGACCACTGCACCTTTTCTTGCTACTACAGAGAACCAGTCTTTTATATCTCAATCTTCTATGCACATGAATGGAATTTGAACATTTAAAATAATGACTTTTAAAATGCCTGTTTTACTATAGTGGGGAATATTTTATAATTCAGAAGTTGATGAAAGAGAACATATTGGAGAACATGTCCTTCTAGCAACAAATTGTGGATTTTATTACATCAGCTTTATGCTTAAAAGAAACTGTTTCTTCCATCAGTATTTTGTATTTTGTAATATGTAAATTTAAACAAATCCTAGGGATATTAAAGAAATCCTAGGGAAAACTCAGTTTTTTTAAAAAAAATTAAAAGGACTATAGTTTAAGTGACGAGATACATGCCATCATCCATTGTGAATGGTGCACTGTTGGGCAGTGTTTACATTTTGCCATTTTCAAAAATTTTCAACATTTTTTTTCTAAAGTTCTACTTTAAATTAATTGAAAACCATGAATCAGCTCTTTGATAGAAATATAATCCATACATGTTCTCAGCAAAGTCCTCAGATCTAAAATGGTCAGAAATATATAAAGTTGTTAAAGGAGGAAGAAATGAATAGAAGAAATACTGTAACAAAAAAAGGGGGAGATGCACACACTGAGGAAGTGTAAATAGTTTTTGTTGGGCTAGAAGTTCCAAGGAAAAAGGACACTGAAAGGTACATTGAAGTATAATGTAGAAGCTGAACAATAGGCTGTCAAGAGCAGTCCAAGATATAAGGCAGTATCCAAGTAACAAAGGCTCTCTCAGACACAAAAGCACTGAAAAGAACCCGTTCTCTCTGATTCAGAGGCAAGACAGGCTGATAATCCCACACTAAAGGGGAGCACTAGGAGGAAACTGCTCAGCACCTGGTGATAAAATTGACTGCATTCATCTATGCACCACAGCAATATGTAGGTAGAATTTACAGGTAAGAACATTCAAAACAGTTTCAATAATCCAAACAACAGTGCATGATATACCACAGGTTAACTGAGGAATGAGAACGACCGTCCTACTGAAAGGTGGCGTGTCTGCACATGCACACATACACCCTGAAGACGAAAAGTGACCAGGAGCCTGAAGTAGTAACACACTAGACACCCGTAGGAAACAATAAGGCTGAAACCTTTAGTATAGGCAATGAACAGGACTAGAGCAGGACAAGTCAGCTGAGCTTTGTGAACGCTCTGCATGGGCCCTAGCCATGAAGAACCATGAAAGATTTCCCTGGGGAAACAGGACCAGGACTTTGGCAAAAAGCCCAGAGGGCTCAAGACTCCAGGCTTGAAATTGTGCATGTTCCCACACTGGCACAGGTGGCAGGATCCCTTTAGAGTCATCCTTTTGGAAAACGTGACTAGAGCATACAGTAGAATTGCTTCCTTTCTTGGGGGGAGGAGAGAGGAAAAGGCAGGCTTAATTCCTATGGAAGCTCATGACAGAAGGCAGAAATACAAACAGCCCCCCTGAGTTCTTCCTGCCCATTCATAACCACACCTAATGGGAGTCCCATACAAGCCATTAAAGTCAGGAACCAGCATGCTATTTTTTTTGTGTGTGTGTCTATGTGCTTGCGGGCCTGGAAGTCATGGTGACTTCTGGCAACCCCGAGTGGGGCTAGGATATTTCAGAGAGGTGGCTAGATATTGCCTGCCTTTGCATCCTGGCCCTGGTATTCCTTGGCGGCCTCCCAAGTACTTGCCAGGTCGGCCCTGCTTAGTTTCTGAGATTTGACAAGATCAGGCTTGCCTGGGCTACCCAGGTCAGGGCCCAGAATGCTATTCTAGCACGTTAGGATTCCCGTTAGATTATCATTTAGAGGCAGGATCCACAGCCCGCCATCCTGGGGGGACCCCTCAAATGAGTGTTGCCTAAACTAGTCTACATACCTAAAGGGAGTCTTAGATGTTTCCGCTTCTCCCACAGTGCATTGCGGTAACACAGCAAGTCGGGTGGGGCGTGCATGGACCGGGTGGCTGAAGTCATTCCCTGTGAACCACGTATGCGAGTAGTGATTGCCCTTGCAATGCAGCTGGCCCTACCCTGTTGTCTCCCACCCTCCATCTCTACCAGCACACGAGACAGATGACTTGCATGGGAAACAGAGCGACACTGATGTCCCCCAGATATTACTGGTGCACAGTGACCACGGAAGTTTGGGGGGGGGGTAGGAAAGGAGAGAAATGCAAGAGGACCCCCTCTCCCTGACAATTAAAAACGTATATGTTATATACATACATTCACAGATATATCAATATAAATATATAAAACAAACTCCAACAGACGAGCAGACGGGAGGCCTGAGGCCAGGGCCAGCCCTGGAATGTTTCACTGGCTCCTGCCATCCTCTCTCTGCTTGTGGAAGAGGTGCTACAGCAGGGTGGCTCTTTGGTGGTGCACCAAAGACCGCTGCAGAGGGGCCTGCTCTCCCCAGTCCCGGAGCGCTTCCTCTGTAGAGCAAATGTCTGCTGCCTCCCTGAAACGACGAGCCCATATTTCTCCAGCTAGCATGTGCTGGACTGTCCGCCAAAGCCAGTACCATCTCCTGGGCAGAGTCAGCTCGCCGCCTGGCTGGGCTCTTTGAGAGAATGCACCGGCTGCACCTATAGGCGAGTGGGCTCCTCTTCACTTTCACTGCAGTTCCCACAACAGTCCTGGAGAAGGAAGGGAGGCAGAGTAGGGAGGGGCAGGGGAAGCAATGGGGAAAGGAAAAGCACACAGCAAGCACAGAGTGAGTAGTTATTTTTCCAACAGGCAGGCAGACAGACGCAGGATTTCATTCTGTCTCCCAAAGAGAGACGCCATTGCTTAGAAAGGACAGTTGCAGCCCCACAACAAAACAAACCAAGTCTGCTGGTGGAGCTATTCCCAAGACTAAAGCCCTCTGGTAACCAGCCCACAAGACCTGTGACACGATCTTACTGGGATCCTTTACTACTTTGCCTTTACTACTTGCCACCGTCAGAATAGGATCCATAGTCCAAGAATGCATTTTCAGTATAAAAAAAGGTGAGCCTTTATTTAGGTTCACTGCAGCTGGAAGAAGCTGCAAGACTGTCTTCATTCATTCCAGTGGCACAACTGCAGTAACAGAAAGAGTACAGACTAGTGGTAGGGAGTAGGAAGCACATCAGCAAGCCCTCAGAAAGCATTTAAGGCCTTTGGGCACAAAGTTGAAAAGAGATAAAACTCAAACATTTCCTAAGAGCAGGAGGGCCACGAAGGAAGCGTGGCAGCTTCAGGTGCTGGAGAAGAGGATGGGAAAGGCACACCTGCTGCCTCCATGGAAAAGGACGAGACACTCGATTCAGTTTATGGTGCTTTACAGGAAGCATGGTTAGTGGCTTGAGGGGCTATTAATGCACATGTAATCTGGAGGGGGAAGGAAGGGGGAGAGAAAGGGAGGCACTGAAGAGGTAGAATCCACATCCCCCATGTCTCGTCATGTCCGCAAGGGAGCTTAGGGCACCAGGTAGTCATTTTCCTGAGCAGAGCAGCCAGGAGAGAAGGGGTTGCTCACCTCTGGAAAGAGAAAACATGCTGTGAGGCCCGGTCAGAGACAGCCATGCTCTCTCCCCTGAGCCCTTCTCCAGCTTTCACAAACCCCTCTTGCCAAACAGAGACACCTGAGCAGGAACTAGCAAGGTGAGGGAAAATGATGAGCCCACAGAAGGTGAGCACTGCCACTACAAATGGGCTGTCACTCATGGCACGCTAGTAGAAGGGCAGCTCCTCTAGCACTAGGTGCAGAACACCGGTTTCTCCAGAAAAGCTACAAGCACATACACTGTGAACTGGGCTATCCTTCTAAATCACTAAGATGAAAGACGGAAAGGGATGTGGCCTGGAGCTTCCTAAAGTTATCCTAGGTCTAGTCCATGCTACTGGCTTAAAGATTTATTTATCTGTTTGGTTAACAAAATTTGTACCCTGCTCTTCTGCCCTCATAAGGGCCACCAAGGCAACTAACAAATGAAAACATACGTTTAAAAAAAAATCATTACAAATAATTTAACCCACAAAAACACATCATTAAAACTAGAGCTAAAATATAAACAAAAACAAAACAATTGAAACGTTGGGCAGGAAGGAGGAATCACTAAGGGAAGACCACACAAAACAAAAAAAGTCTTCAGCCACTGGTGGATGATGGCAACAGAAGGGGACAGACTCTCCCGGGGGGGGGGGGAAGAGTTTCAGTGCCACAACTAAGAAGGCTCTCTCAGGCTCCCACTTAATTTCAGGAGGTGGGGAAAATAGAGGTGTGCAATTTTTTTTCTTGGTATTTTTCGGTTTGGGTCTATTCCACCTGAAAAAAAATTCCGGATTCCCCCCAAACCCCAGATCCTGATACCAGTAAAGCACTCGGATCCAGGTTTTTTCAGAAATATACCCAAACTGAAAAACAAAGAGGGGGAAAAAAGCAGCAGCAAAGCTGCTGAAAATAGCTAAGAGGTGGCTCAGCTGGGGCTTGGGGGGGGGGCTCCCTTTAAATCAGACTGCCCAAAGAAGCTCTCTAAGCAGCCGATCCTGCGGGGAGAACTCTCCCTGCAGGCTCTGCTAGGCAGCCAGGTTTAGATTGGACTGCCCAACAGAGCCCACTCAGGAGCCAATCCTGTGGTAGGGAGGGTTCATAAGGGAGTAGTTGGTCTTCCAGATATGTTGGTTCCAAACTACGTAGGGCTTTCAATCTGTCCACAGACAAATTGGGAGCTAGTGTAGACGGGCCAAGACTGCAGTGATGTGCTTTGCAAGTGTGAAAAAGACCAGTCAGTTTGAGCTGGTCATAGCATGAGTCTGCAGATACGTGGTGAGAGGGAAGGGGGCAGGGAGCTACAGGGCTTTTCCAAGGGCTGGTAGAACCAGAACAGCCTATCAACTGTAACCTAATGATTGCTTATGCTAGGCTGCCAGCTAGACCCAAAGCATTGGCAGAACACCTGCTTTGCATGCAGAAGGTCCCAGGTTCAATCCTCAACACCACCAGTTACAGGGTCAGGTAGCAGGTAACATGAAAGACCTCATGTCAAGATCCTGTAGAATCAATACTAGTCAAGAGTAGACAATACATAGACTAATGGTCTGGTTCTACATATGTTCAATTTCGAGTGTTTAAAAACACAAGCATAGTGCCTTGTGGGTACCAAACCCAAGACAAGCATTGAGACCCAGCAATGTGAAAAAGGGTGTGGGCTGAGGTGTCTGGTGATAGGAAAGCAAGAAAGACCAGGGGGAATATCCCAATACAATAGTGATGCGTTTTGCAAGCTGAACCCCACATCTTAAGACATACCTGCTTCCTACCCCTCAAGAAATTACCTGTCGGCTAAAGAGACGTTGCAGCAGGCCCTTTTTGGGCTGAGGAGCCTGCTGCCCCTTCCAGTCCAGGTCAGGAGGAACAGCACCATCTGGACCAAAGACATTCAGCTCCTTGAAACACTCAGTCTCTATCATCTAGAGAGGGCAGAAAATATGCAGAATCTGCTACCACTCAGGGACCCGTTGACATAACTCTGTGACACCAGCTCCCCGTCCCAATTAGCACTGTTAGAATGCCTCAGCCAGCCAGCCAGCTATGGAACAGCCCTGCACCCACCCTCGGGCAAGAACGGCTGACCACGCAGAAGCATCAGGCTGCCTACCTCATTCTGCCAGGGGATGGAGACACTCCCCGTTGCAAACTTATGGTAGAAGTCATGGTCTGTAGGCTCCAGCTCAACACCCTTGACAGTGGAGAACTGCTCAATGTCCAGCACATCCTTGCAATAAATTGCTTGAGGCTAGGAAGAATGGGGGGGAGGGGGATTTTTTATTCAAGAGCTTATTCTCCTGCACACAGTGAGCAGTTGGCATGAGAACAAGATGCTCTCAGGAAACAAGGAAGGCAAGCATCCTGAACTCACATCAGGCTTGAATGGCGGGTCTAGCATCCCTGCTTCCAACCGTTTGAAATTCAAATGTTTAAAGAGAGGGTGCTCTTTCACCTCCTGGGCACCAGCACCTCGACACCCCAGCCGCTCCATTGGGTCTTTGCAGAGGAGCTAGAACACAGAAGAGTATGGTCACAAGGCACAGACAAAAAGAAGCAGCCCAGCTTCCAGAAAAACCAGCAGTAACCACCTCAGTCTATTATATTTTGCTTTTAACTAGAACTGAACTCAAACCTCCCCTTTTTTCCCTCCTCTGAGCCCAAACACAGTGCAGCTTGCTGGTTTAGAATACTATGACTTACAGTGCAATCCTCCGCAGAGCTGCTCCAGTCTAGTTCCACCAATTTCAGACTCTGTGTAGGATTACACTAAAAAAGCTGTTGGCTGTACGATGCTGTCTCAACTCTCTACACCTGCCAAGCCTAAAGAAAAAGGCCTGATGGTTTGATGGTTGAGCAGGCAGCAAGACCTAGGAGAGGGGCTGAGACACATTTATATACACGGACACTCCCATTAGCCTGTTGTTCAGCCGCACAGTCGAGTCCGACTCTTCACGACCCCATGGACCACATCACGCCGGGCCCTCCTGTCTTCCGTCGTGCTCCGGAGTTTGCTTAATTTCACGTTAGCCTAGCCTACCTTTGTTTAAAAAGCAGTTAAGAGGTTCTTTCAGCTATTGCTATATGCCTACTGGTTAATTAACCAGAGACCTAGATGCATTCAATGAGACCATCTATATTAGCTATTCATGAGTTTTTCTTCCAAGTGCCTTAATCTGGTAAACTGAGATAGCATGAGTCAATGTAGCAACATGACACAAGGAGGGGCTCAAATACTGGGTCATTACTTGATCCTAGGCAGATTTTCCAAAAGCCAGGCTGAACTGGGGTGGGTGGGAAAACAGGTCATGTCAGGTGAGATTAGCTGAAGTTTTAAGGTTCAAATCACATCAGAGTTCATTGAACATGGACTGTTTTTACAGTGAAATTTGAGCTGGTGCAGTACTGAAAAGGTGGTTCAGTTTCCAGGCTGCATCTCGCACATAAAAATCAGCTTCAGCATCCTCCCTCCTGATATCTTTATCAAGAAGCAAGATGCATCCAAATAACCTGTACTGTCAGAAATTATTATATTTTTAATAGTTCTACGACTGATCCCTGAATATAAATACAGACACATCTTTGTAAACAGTTATAATATGCAAGTCACATTGTTGTTTTGCTACACTCAAGTTATATGGTATCCAACTGCGTTACCATAGTTATTGGAAAATTTACAAATAATATATTTTTTTTTTTAAAAAAAAGAAGCCGCAAGATGCAGCTGTCTGAAGGGCACCCACCCTGAAGAGGACAAGCATATCCCTTTGCAGTGGGACCAAAGGAGGGTAAGTTGGCCAAGGCCAAGGAAACAACAGTCATACCATGGAACAAAAGGATCGAGAAGCAGGTGAGAACTTTTCCGAGTACTCCTCCTGCACCTCCTTCACCAGGCGTTCCACCTCTTCACGCTTGATCTTCTTCTTCCGCTGCTGGAAGGGAGACTGCCCCTCGATCATCTCATAGAGCAGGCATCCTAGGGCCCACCAATCAGGGCTGAACGTGTACCGCTCGTTCTTTACTACCTCAGGAGCTGAAAAAGCAGCAAGGACTGCATGAGCAAGGCCGTGTGGATTCTTCAGATACACAGAACTGGGATGTGGCATCAAGCTCAGCGTCCTGATGCCAGAACGACACATTTAGCAACAAACGTGATTTCCGACTTGAATTTCATTACAATAGCAGTAAGGTGTGTATTTGCATGTACACTTAATCCATATTCGAGAGTTGTGCCCCACAGCTGGGCTTCTGGGACTGGTCACAAAGAAAAGCCAGTTTTAGGATCTCAGACATTCTGCCCTGACATCTGTTGCAACTGATGTACAGGAAATCTCATCCTTTCTCTCTACTTAATCAGTGCAGGAGTCCATATCTGCAGAATATTTACTAAAATGCATATAGTAAGTGAATGCAGGTTAACTTGCATAATCTTAATATTTTATTAAAATCATAGTCAGATTTGCTGACTGCAGAACTTGTATGGTGTTGGTATAGATCTTGCTCACTGGATTATATACCACTTCCGTAATCCATCTGGAGTGACTACTTCAGTGCATTTTGTTTTTGCTCTTATGATGCTGCAAAGAACAGGATGCCACATTCCTGCACAAACTTGGGTCAGGACACAAATGGCCCCTCTGTAATCCAAAAGGCAACTCCCCCCTGTTTTCTTTCTGAGCAACAGAAAAATGCTTATCCCAAACTCTCCTAGCACTCATGCCTCAACTTCTACTCTAGCAGGAAGCACACTAAGACTACAGTGTTAAACTTGCTTCCTTGGAAGTAAGGCCCACTGAATATCTCTATACACACACACACACAGCCTTCTTTATAAGAAAACATGCTTAGGACAGCACTGCACTGCTACAAATTTGCAGTGATTTGTTCTTTTCCCCAAAGCCAAGGCATTCAAGAGCAATTAGTTCGCCTCAGGCATCCAAGAAAGCAACCAGTACAGGTGTCAGAGGAAGAATCGGGGGAAAATAGATATTGTCACAGTAGAAGCAAGTAAGGTGGACTGTATAATGATGTAAATTTGGCCTATCTTTCTGAGGGCCAAACAAGACGTGATTTAAAATGTCATAAGGGCATTTGGCTTTAAAGTGGCAGCAGCATCCACAGGTCCTAGTTTGGCCCCAATTCAAACACTTCTTAAAGGACTATTATCCTACAGGTCTGCTATACTTTAATGACTCACTTCTCACTGAATTCTCTGTTCATCTCTGTACAGAACTACATGTTTTGGGAAAAGACTGCTTCCCCCCCGTCCTTGCAAGATGTGCTTCCTAGCCTCCATGTTGATCCCAGTCAACTCACCAGAACATGTCTTGGATACTCACCCATGTAGCCAACTGTTCCCACCCGACCTTTTATTGTCTGACCCTCCGGAACATAAACAGCAAGCCCCAGGTCAGAAATGCGGATGTGACCTTAATCAAAGGAATGTGAGTCATGGAAGTGTCCAGTTTGCAGATTCCCTCTCAACCCAGAACAAATCCTGTTACAAAAACTGAAGAGGCACCCACTCGCCCATGTAGGAGGACATTTACTCACCATGATCATCCAGCAAGATGTTCTCAGGCTTCAAGTCCCTAGAAGGAAAAATAAATTTTGTAAGATACAGAACTGCATTGGATTTCTTCTTCTCAACTAGCATATGAGGGACACCAGAAAAACTTCAACCACTAGAATAGAGGATACCCAGGAAATTCTGCCATTCTCATTCCCTGCAGCTTTTTAACAAAGTCCTTTGCAGTGAGGTAGCTACATTCAAGGTACTACAGAAGAACATGAGAAGAGCAATGATGGATTGGACCAGTGGCCCATCTAGTCCACCATCCAGTTTCACACAGCAGCCAACCAGTTGCCCTGGAAGGCCAAAGAGGGCACAGTGGCCAAGGCCTTCCCCTGATGTTGCCTCCTAGCACTTTGCTGCAAAGGTTTAGTGCCTTTCCTTTCATTAAACTTGACTAGTAGCCATTGATGCACCTATCCTCCATGAACCTGTCTAGCCCCCCTTTTAGAGCCATCTATGCGCATTGCTATGGCTACCTCCACTTGGCAGTGAATTCCATAATTTAATATGCTCACTGAGTAAAGAAGTGTTTCCATTTTATTGTCCATTGGGAGCTCCTGAGTTCTAACATTATTGGAGAGGGAGACAAAGCCCCCTCTCTTTCTACTTCCTCCCCCTCGTGCATGATTTTATAAGACTCTTATCATGTCCCCTGTCCCCCCCTCCAGTTAGCCCTTCTTTTTTCCTAAA